AGGAAACAAACAGTATGAGCAGTGTACTAAAGGGAAAATAAGAAGTCCGGTAGTACAGCAGAGGGAGCAACAGTCACAAAATCTCTAATCTATACCAGGAAGGTCTACTTCCCTTTTGCTCACTAGGGTGCAGTCCTGTTTCAGTTTGGAGCACAGGCTCTAGCCAATACATACCTCTATCTTGAACCTCACTGAGACACCCGTAGTTGAGTGAAAGGAACCCAGCTACAAACCTAAAGCGGAAGCTGCTGCTGTTACCCACTTCATCTATACTCAGCCTATCATTTGAGAAGAAATCTACTGTGTAGCTTTTGTAAGTTGCTCTTAAACATATAAAAAATTTTTTTTCTCCTTTGTAGAGTGATGTCCAGACAGCTAAGGAATTTATTAAGATAATAGAAAATGCAGAAAACGAATACCAGGTAAGATCAGTGGTTGTTAAATAAATATGATGGAATCGTATCAGTCTCCATTTACAGTTAATGGAAACATGGAAAATTGACCTCTAAGTCTGTTTCTGGCTAAGTCTGGTATTGACTATAAGAATTACTTAGAAAAGGGCAGTAGTATTTGTTTAAAGAATATAGTTGTAAAGCTATGTGTATTTAATAATCAAGTTTGCTGTATAGTTATTTTAAAGGGTTACAAATGATGCCTGGAACAAGCATGGAAGGGGAGTGGGTGAGTCTAAATATTTTCCTCTGTGACAGTTAAAAATACTGAAGAGGAAATGCGTGTGACAGCTTTTTACATTGTCCCAGCCTGTGTGCAAGGAGGCTCGACACAGATCAGTCAGTGAAACACATGAGGAGGCACTGCTATATCCACAGGGGAGTTTAACAGAAACCCTTCTACTTGCACACACACTGGTGACTGCATTATTAATTTAGTTAGCAGTGTGCCTTCGCCTTGAGGAAAGGGTTTTGTGGCTTAACACCGAGTCATGCTTTTTCAGAGTATCTTATTATTGCTGTAACTGAATCTGCTTGCCATTGCAGACAGCAATCAGTGAAAACTACCAGACTATGTCAGACACCACTTTCAAAGCCTTACGCCGGCAGCTACCTGTCACCCGCACCAAGATTGACTGGAACAAAATCCTCAGCTACAAGATTGGCAAAGAAATGCAGAATGCTTAATGTGGAAATAAGGAGATATACAAAATGTTTGTGTGCAAAAAACAAATGTGGTCCTATGCCAAGTAGATGGTTCTAAACCAGTGCAGCATTTTTCTAGGGCTTTCAAAGTTAACAGGTTTTCTAGCCTCAGAGAACTGTGGAACAAATAGCATTGTCTTTGTGTTTTGTGTTTCCTGCGGCATAAACTTCCTATTGTGACTGCATTTACTGATAGGTCATTTTAATTAAACCACGTTCACGGTTCAGAAGTATAGCTGTTTTCAATCACTTATTGTTCTGGTTGGAAAACTTCCTAGCTGGAAAAGCCCTATCATAAATACAGCTGAGGGTGCAGAGCATTCCCTTCACCCGTATACAGCACTCCAGGTACTCCAGTAAGTTTGTCAAGTCTGCCAACAGCTCAAGGCGCTATGCTGCAAGATATAATAAATGCAAAAGACAGTAAGTCCTCATGTATCCTTATTCCTGACCTCCACAAAGCAAAAAGCCTGCAGGCTTAGATTTTACTATATAACGTGAGTTTACAAGATCCTTTACAGAAATCCCTACACAGCCAGCTCTTCCAGGAACATAATATATTTTTTTTTTAATCTGAAGATTTGAGCCATGTTCCCTAAAAGTGAACATTTTTGCTCTCCCCTCCCTCGTGTATGTACGGTTATCAGACATCTGCATTTTTACAGAACTGCAAGTTCCTGTGTTGAATCACTGCTGATCCATGTAGGCTGGATAGTGATTAAAAATGCAAATGTCTACAGAATAATAGGTATGTTGTGCTTTAATGCTTTGTGGCAGGTTCATAGAATTTGTATCACAGGTGTATGGATGGATAGTGTACAAAAATAAATAAACTTGCACCAAAGTGAGAGAAAACACCTTTCCATTTTGTCTCAATTGTGGCCAGTTTCTTGTCATACTTAAAGGGGATTTTGGAATCAATCTCTTGATTGCTCTCTAAATGCTTGCTCTATGTTACTTTGTTTTCCTGTAAAATCGGACATAGCAGTCCTACCAGTTTCTCTTGAGGGGAGGTTGAAGGGGCATGCATGTGCCTTTCTCAGTCAGAACTCGGAACATGGATTCACTGCAAAATGAACCCCCTTTGGTGAACTCACTTTGCTTTGTTTGCACTTGGTTATCAGTGGGCCTTCTTGTAGGTTCTGGTTTTTAAACTGGCTAGTGTCTTCCTATTTTTAAATACACAAAGAAAAGGGTTGGGAAGCTGGGGATGGGACTGCCTGTGCATTACACTTCAGGTTTTGCACAGTAATACCACAAAATAAGTGTGTCTATCCTTTGTGAGAAGTTTTGTCTAAATAAAATGTATTTGTATTTGCTGTTGAGACTGACCATTCATCCTACAGGCATCCTCTGTATCAAATAGTCTAGTAGAAATACACCGGTCTTTGTTTTAAAGCCATGTGTGTCTGTTCTTTCATGGTCGCACTTCTGTTAGCTCTTGATGAAGGCAGGTCCTACAAGTAACAGCCTGAAAGCAGGGGGTGGTATTGCTTGCAAAGCCACAGGTGATGCTCCTCCTGGTACACAGACCAGGGAAACGGAGGTCTAAGAACTTTCAAATTAAAAGAAAAGCAGTCACACAGCTCTTAAAGCACTTCACCCCGGGGAAAACAGCAGATGAGGTTATTCCACTCATCATCTGTGTCTTACTGTAACACCTACCTCACCTCTTCTGCTCAGCTTCCAAAACACTAACTGCTGGATGCGCCCTATGTCTGGTGGACTGGACAAAGCAGGACTGTCTGCCCAGCGGCGTGCAAATCCTCCGGGAAAGAGCTACTCAAGGACAGTGCTTCTGCCAGAGGGTGTTTGTAGAAAGGGTTTCCTCCCTGCCCACAGCGCCTAGAGGAGATGAAAGGTTATGTGGACGAGCACCTAAGGTGCTGTGGTCTGTGGCCGTGGTCCCATCCAGACAAGCGCTGCAGCAATTCCAAGAATGTGGAGCTGCAGCAGGGGCCCAAGATAAGGCTGTGCACACAACAGAGCTTTTATCTGCCTCAAGGCTAGTCTTTTCCCCTGCTCTGGGTTAGTTAGACTGGAAGTAGTTCACCGCCACTTGTTCCAGCCTTAAGACCATTTCTATCTCTTTGTCCTTCTCCAAATCTTTCGCTAACCATCCTTTAGGCTGACTTACTCCCTGCCTGCCTCCTGGCCCTTCTCCCCCACCAGCCTTCTCTGCAGCAGGCCCAGCGATCCCAGTCCTACCCCCTTGCCAGCTCCTATTTCTTCCTTGGGAAAGCAGCACTTGGCGTGACACACTGCCACTGGGGCACTAAGCAAGTGCCAGCCCAGCAGTAACACATGCCCGGAGGCATTCTCATCCTTAAAGCCATCAGCTATTGTCTGCTGGAGACCAGAGGCTTCAGCAGAGACTGAGGCCAGCTCCAGAGCAATGTATATCCTGGGCTGGCTCTGTTGGAAGTGTACAAAAGTCAAAGCCTGACCCCAGATGAATCACAGTGAGCAGGCACTGCAGCTTGACTGAGCCAGGGAAGGCAAAGCCAGCCCCACCCAGCGCTGCAGGATGGGTCCTGCCAGCCCAGACAGCAGCTAGGCTACCCAGCTGCCCCCACGGAAAGAGCTTTCCTATCTGTTTGCAAGATCAAAGCTTAAAGCTCCAGGATTCTGCCTGCAATACACGACAGAAAGACTTACAAGCAACTTCTCCAAAAGCAACACCCCCATTTTTTTCAAGCCTCAGAGCCCTCCCACAACCTGCGAGGGGCCCCTACACCATCACAGTCTTTCAGCCACCTCCAGACAGTGGCAGGTCATTAGTAGAGCTTGGGTCAGAGGAAAAGCCACCCAAGCTAAGGTGGGGAAAAGAGCAGACTTACCCCAACATCCTTGGGCCACAGACAAGGCAAAATCAACACCCAGGCAGCAGTCCTAGGGTCTTGAGCCGTTTTACAGAAGCAGGTCAGGGATCACCATCCTCACTAGGCAGGCTGCAGGTTGAAAATACAGGAAAGTGGAGGCAGAGGCAAACAGAGAAACCAGCTCTTCCTCCTCCTGCTGCTGCTCTATTTATAGAGCAGCCATTTCAGCTCTGGGAGCTCTTGCACCTCATTGTTGGATGCAGTGATGCAACACACCTGGGCACCTCTCCTGCCCGGACAGCAGCATGGGAGTGAGCCGGCAGCCTCTGCTCTCCCTCCCTGGGGGCAATTACTGCCAGGGCTTGCAGGCCAGCGGATGACAACTAGCCCAGACCTTTGACACTCAACAGCTCGATCCCCCCAGCCTTGCAACCACAGCCTGGTTCAGGCACGTGTCCGTCACTCCTGGGGTAGCCCTGCGAGGGGGGTGCACACCCCTCGGGGTACCAGATCCTGGGCTGGGTCAGCCCCCGCCCCAGCCCCTCTGCATGCAGCCAGGACAATTCTCGCGACTGTGGATCCCG